TCTCACACCACTATCAACATTTGCACAACGGTTTTTGCATTTCTCAAAAGAATTAGTACAAACTGCAAAACCTAGTTGACAACCAGCAAAAGCACATCACTTGCACGTCAAAATGGAGAATTCATTCGCCAAAAGTGACTATTCATGTCAGTGAAAGTGTCATCAAAATGAAAAGTCCTCAAACCATTGTTTATGAACAAGATAGTCAAATGGCTTTGTTATGTTTTCATAATGACAGTTTACTGTGTAAGTGTTTTCAAATGCAAAAAAGTCAGATCTTGGTGACACTACTTGAAAATGCTCAAGACAGCACTATACACTATTTGCAAAGTCATTTGAAAGCTAAAGTGAAGTTTCACATTACTGTATTTAGTGAGGTAACTGAGTACAAGACACTGAATACGTATGTTTCACATTTGTAATGCATATGCTCTTTGCAATTCTAATTTGTTCACAGCATTATGCAAAAGAAAAATACACACTTATTTACAACAAGCATAAGAAACACCCTTTGGGTACAGCTGTGCACAACTATAAATAATATTGCAGTACATATTGGAACTGAACATACAACATGCACAGTGCTGTAAATCATTCATGCACATAGAATAGAATAGAATAGAATAGAATAGAATAGAATAGAACTTTATTGATCCCTTTGGTGGAAACCTCAGGGAAATTGTTGTATCCAGACGTTCCTGTCTGTCTGGCCACATTTAAAAAAAAAAAAATCTACATCACAGTGAATATCATCCCTTGCAATGCAGGGAGGAAAGTATCTCCTCGAGTGGCGAATACACCCTCTGTAGGACTCTGCTGCGATGTCATCACATGCTGCATCCATGGCCGCTAGCAGGACCATTTGGGTATGTGGATGCCGGTCATATACCTTCCACCTCCAGGCAGAGAAAAACTCCTCTATTGGATTCAGGAATGGGGAGTAGGGAGGGAGATATTCCACCAGCATCCTTTCATGTGCTGCAAGCCACTGTCTGACCAGATCTGACCAAACAACAACATACTTGTTCAGATGGTCTCCAGTTAGAACCCTCTCATTCTCAGGGATTATATCCCTGTAAAGAGTTTCTAAAAAAGTCAGCAGATGTTGTGTGTTGTATGGACCAAGACGAGGGATATGGGTGAAGATGGTAAAAGCTGAGGTTCACCTGAGAAAAACTGTTGAATTTTGGAGGCATTTTCATGAAAAAATGATAAAGAAATGAAAAAATAAAATGTGATTGACAGATCTTGACAACTAGTTCAACATTTTTGTATGTAATGATTCAAGCAATGAAATGAGGACTATTAGACTTTTAGGGAACGACTATTCAGCATCCATAAGTAAGTGAATACTGATTAGTAATGTTTAACCACCAATTTACTGTGTATCTGTCTGAGGTAGACCTAGTTTTAACTACATTATATACAGTTTATGTGGGTGCTGTAGTCTAAAGGTTCCTAAGCTCCTGGAAAAGAAAAAAAGGAAAAATATGCAGTCATAACATTGTGAAATTTTATCTAGCTACAGTTATTTTAAGATATGATAGGTCACTTGTTCAAAGGAGCCGTTGCTAACTTCTAGACATCTGGGACAATGGGCCCCAACTACAGACTGCCTTTAAATGATCTGCACTTATATACAGTATCTCCTAACTAACTTAGTGGTACTAAAAGCACTTTACAATGTTTTCTCATTCACCAATTTACCCACATTCATACACTAATGACGACAGAGCTGCCATGCAAGGTGCTGAATGCCATTGGGAGCAACTTTGCGTTCAGTGTCTTGCCCAAGGACACTTCGACTGTGGAGGGGATCAAACCACCAACCTTGCAATTAGAGAACAACCTGCTCTACCACACCTGAAACCTTTAGCCTTTAGTCACTTGTCTCATGTAAAAATGGTACAAAAACCATTGATTTAATCTTTAATGATGTGTTGTGAAAATGAATACAAATGACTATAGCAGATCAGTTGGGAACATTTAGACTTAAGGCTATGTAAAGTAGGTAAAAAGAGCTCTATGTCCATCAGCTTAGCAATAAAATACTACATGCAGTTGAAACCAGAAATTTATATACACTGTATAAAAGAAATAGAACCTTTTTTCCTCACTGTCTGGCATTAAATCAGACAAAACTTTTCCTGTTTTAGGTCAGTTACGGTTGCCAACATTATTTATATTTGCTAATCCACAAGATTACCATGC